CCTTGGGCGTTTCAATTGTTGTGCTTGTTGACTCACGGAAGCAGCCCGTTTGTTTCCTCGAGCGGTAGGTGATTGTGATACGAGGGGCTTATTTGGTGCCATTCACGTCAATAAATCAATGGGTGAGTGGTTTACATAGCATTGGAAACAAATTGAGAGAATTTAAAAGAAACAAGAAGCATCTGCGATGAGTGATGCAATCACATAACAATTCTATGAGCCGCAAACCCATCGTAAAATTACACCACTTAGAAACCAAAGCATGAATACGATCGCGAAAGGTGCCGCAGAGCAAATTTGTGAGACCGCATCGTGGTCGCATTTTTTCTCACCAGATGTGGCAAATTAGTTGCCTCAGTCTGCGGCACTTTCACGGTCCGCGAAATGATTCTGCGATCGCGAACCCAACCGCAGAAGTGCTTCTCAACAGGATACCTAGGGCACCAAATGCGATGATTCTGCAGACCGCAAATCAATTATACAGACAGCAAAGATCGTCATCTTTACTCAAAAGGTCGACCCACTCAATTTACAGACCTTCCAACACCCAAATTCAGACATTGCACACCTATGAAATGGAAAAACTTTCCCACCCTGTTCTTTACTCTGATTATGCAGATTAAATTCTTGAAACCCAGTTTACCCCTAGCATCAATTTCCCCTTAAACAATGATTCTTACACAAATTATGCACACATTGATACCCACAGCAAGGGATTGAGAAGAAGGGGAAAATAAGATGCAAACACATGTTCTTCTTCAACGTAATTAAGCAAGAGAGGGAGGAACATTTACATACCCGATATCTGAGTAGTTGAAGGATTTGTTCTGAGATACGAACCAGGTGACCTCTTTCTGTGCAATTCCATTTATCTTTTTGTGATTTTGTGTAGTTAAGCCAATGTTTTTGGTCTTTTCTTGCTCTTCTTTGTTTTGTTTTTGTTTTGTTGATCTCGTTTGTGTTGTGCGGTGCTTGTATGTGAGTGAGAGTGAGGTTGTGCAACTAAAATGCGGATATGATTAGGGTGTAATACCTGGGAGTTTTGCGGTAGAAAAGTGGATCGCATAACACATTATGCGGTCGCATATGTGTTATGCGACAAGTTAGTGATAGCTTGGCTAAGATCCACTTCGCGACGTATTCTGCGGTCGCATAATTGTTATACATGACGCAAAAATAGAAAGTCCATCGCATTTTGGAGGACCAAAATTGTATTTTCTTCTGAGTGTTTCTGCGACCACTATGCTGTCCACAAAGCCATTATGTGACTGTATAGTTGCCGTAGACCACATGTCATTCTTTCCTTCATTCTTCTCAGTCCTTGCACCCTGTTTCATTGTATTTTGAGCTACCTGCATTATAACACACACGTCAAATTGCTCAACACTAATAACTAAACTTACAGAAATTAAAATCTAACAAAAGAGTGTTACCACACATGGGTTGCCTCCCAAGAAGCGCTTTATTTAACGTCGCGGCACGATGATGTTAACCCCATTTGGGCTAATAAGTGGTGGGGACTAGTGTAGGACTAGCCTCGAGTGCGAATTGTTCTACCAAGTGTGTTTCTCCTGTGGTACCGAGGTAATGTTGACCCATTGGCCATTTACTTTAAAAGTTCTAGTCCCGTCCTCCAACTCCAATTCAATAGCGCCATAGGGGGACACATTCACAACTTTGAACGGGCTAGACATTTGGATTTGAGTTTGCCCGGAAATAACTTAAGTCTTGAGTTGAAGAGTAAGACCAAGTCACCATATTTGAATTCCCGCTTCAAAATATTCTTGTCATGAAAAAACTTCATTCTCTCCTTATAAATGGTTGCACTCTCATAGGCATAGAGACGAAATTCTTCCATCTCTTTGAGTTGTGTCATTCTTAGGTTAGTAGCTTCGGCCCAATCAAGATTCAACTTTTTCAATGCCCGCATGGCTTTGTGTTCAAGCTCCACTGGCAAGTGACACACCTTACCAAAAACCAACCGGTATGGTGAGGCGCCAATGGGAGTCTTAAATGTTGTGCGATATGCCCACAATGCATCATCTAGCTTCCTTGACCAGTCAGTCCTGTGTGCATTAACGGTTTTTGCTAGGATGTTTTTGATATCCCTGTTGGAAAATTCAACCAGACCGCTCGATTGAGGATGATAAGGGGTGGCCACCTTGTGCTTGACTCCATACTTTTCGAGCAGCCCGGTGAAGGACTTGTTGCAAAAGTGAGAACCACCATCACTAAGGATGGCTCTGGGGGTACCAAACCGCGTAAATATGTTCTTCTTCTAGAAAATGGTCACACTTTTTGCCTCATTGTTGGGTAAGGCGATTGCCTCGACCCATTTGGAGACATAGTCCACAGCCACCAAGATATATATCATCCCATAAGATCTCACGAAGGGAACCATGAAGTCTATTCCCCACACATCAAAGATCTCGACCTCCATTACAAAGTTCATAGGCATCTTATCTCTTCTAGAAATTGACCCTTGTCTATGACATTGATCACATGCCTTGACCTTTTCATTTGTGTCTGGGTAGATCGATGGCCAATAGTAGCTACATTCAAGCACTTTTGCTACAGTATGGTTTCCACCATGATGGACCCAAACCGGGAAGTCATGACATGCCTTGAGAATCTGCATTACCTCATCTTCCGAAACACAATGCCGAATGATGTTGTCGGCACAAATCCGAAACAGAAAGGGTTCCTCCCAATAGTATTGCCTACACTCCCGCAAGAACTATTTCGTTTGATAATCTTCCAATATGTCGGGAATGAGGTCACTAACCAAGAAGTTAGCGATGTCGGCATACCAAGGAGCGAAGGTGCTAGACAATGCCAATATGTGTTCATCTAGAAAGGCATCATTAATTTCAAGATCTTGTTTTGGTCACCCTTCCTCTTCAAGCCTAGATAGGTGATCCGCAACTTGATTCTCTGTCCCTTTTCGATCCTTGACTTCAATGTCAAACTCTTACAACAAAAGGACCCACCTAATCAATCTTCGTTTACCATTCTTATTCGCCATAAGATAGCGGAGAGCAACATGATTGGTGTAAACTATCACTTTGGACCCCAACAAATAGGCCCGAAATTTTTCAAAAGCATAGACAATGGCAAGAAGTTCTTGCTCGGTCACTGTGTAATTCATTTGTGTTCAATTGAGTGTCTTGCTTGCATACAAGACAGGATGAAGGATCTTGTTATGTCGTTGACCAAGCACCGCCCCAATAGCTACACCACTGGCGTCACACATGAGGTCAAATGGAAGGGACCAATCAGGTGTGACAATAATAGGTGTCATGGTGAGCTTTGCTTTCAAATCCACAAAAGCTTTGAGATACTTCTCATCGAATTCAAACTTTACATCTTTTTCAAGGAGCTTGCACATGGGATTTGCAATTTTTGAGAAGTCCTTGATAAAACGCCTATAAAAACTGACATGACCCAAAAAGCTTCGAACACCATTCACTGAAGTGGGAGGAGGAAGCTTGGAAATGATTTCGATCTTTGGCCAATCGACCTCTATGCCTTGCTTGGAAATTTTGTGGCCGAGAACAATGCCCTCGTCCACCATGAAGTGGCACTTTTCCCAGTTTAGCACAAGGTTAGTTTATTCACATCTTTTGAGCGCTTGTCTAAGGTTGTCAAGGCAATGCTCAAAGTAATCACCAACTACAGAGAAGTCATCCATAAACACCTCTAGGAAATCTTCCACCATGTCCGAGGAGATTGACATCATGCACCATTGAAAGGTAGTCGGGGCATTGCATAGCCCAAATGGCATACGGCTAAAGGCAAAGGTCACATGCGGGCATATGAATGTTGTCTTCTCTTGATCTTCTAAGGCGATGTTCATTTGGTTATAGCCAGAATACCCATCCAAGAAGCAATAGAATGACCTTCCCGCTAGCCGATCAAGCATTTTATCAATAAAAGGCATAGGGAAATAGTCCTTGCAAGTAGCATTATTTAGCTTCTGGTAGTCCATGCAAAATCTCCACCTGGTCACTATCCTCGTTGGGATGAGCTCATATTTGTTGTTTTGAATTACGGTCATGCCTCCTTTTTTGGGAACATATTGCACCTGACTCACCCAATAATTATCGGCAATGGGATAAACTACCCCGGCATCTAACCATTTTATGATTTATTTCTTCACCACCTCCTGCATGTAAGGGTTTAACCTTCTTTGATGCTCCATGCTAGATTTTCTCTCTTGCTCTAAGTGTATCTTGTGCTCACAAATGCCAGCGAGAATCCCTCGTATGTCCTCTATTTTCCATCCAATGGCCTGTCTATGCTCCCTCGAGGTATTCAACAACCATTCAACCTGCACATCATTAAGCTAAGAAGAAATGGTAGAGTTTTATTGGAGCCAAGAAATTTATACCTTAAATGCGGTGGAAGTGGATTGAGCTCAAGTTGTGGAGGATCGATGATTGAAGGCTTCACGGGAGGAGTGACTATATTTTCTAAGTCAAGAAAAAGTTTCTTTGGTGCATAAGTGTAGGACCCACGTCCTTCTAATGCATTTGCCGATTCCATGTACACTTTCATGTCTTCACCATCAAAATTTACCAAAATAGCCGCCAATGCCACACAAAGGCATTCTTCTTCCATCTTCATCTCGATTGCATCTTCTACCTCATCAATAATATCAATGACTGAGATGCTTTCATATGCATGTGGCAATTTCATACTCTTACTCGCTTGAAAGGTAACCTCTTTGTCATTAACTCGGGACTTGATCTCATTTCGTTCCAAATTCATGAGTGCTCTTTCGGTAGCAAGGAATTGTCTCCCCAAGATGATAGGGATTTCTTTATCAATAGCACAATCAAGGATAACAAAGTCGGCAGGAAGGAGGAACATCCCCACTTTCATAAGAACATCATCAACAATTCCCACCAGTTGTTTTATTGCACGGTTAGCCATTTGCAACCTCATACTTGTAGGCCTAGGCATACCTAACCCCTATTTCTTGTAAATAGTAAGAGGCATTAAGTTAATGCTATCCCCGTTATCACAAAGAGCTCATGAAAAATTGCGCAACCCGATAGTTCATGGAATGGTAAAAGCTCCCGGGTCTTCTTTTTTTGAACGGTGGTTGTTGCAATGATAGAGCTAACCCGGTGGGTCACATTCACCACTTCATTTTTTATGGTTTTCTTCTTTGTGATTAAGTCCTTCAAGTACTTAGCAAAACCCGACATCTCTTGAAATGTTTTCACAAATGGAATGTTCACCGATAATTTCTTGAGAATTTCATAGAATTTCTCGAGTTTGCTATCATCAACCCTCCTAGCAAGTCTTTGAGGGAAAGGAGGGGGAGGTCTAGGAATTGGTGCTAGAGCTTTTGGTGCCTCATTTACCTTTTCCTTAACCTTTTCACGGTTCACTTCTTGAACTTTCACCTCCTTTGGGAGTCTTTCAGCTTCAACAACTATTGGAACCTCAACTTGTGCCTCAACCTCTTGTTCCGAATCTTCCACTTCGACCACTTGTTCATTCTCTCCTTGAAGTATTTTCCCACTTCGAGTTGTTATTTCCATACAATGAGAAGTCGGACAATTCCCATTACCTTTTGGATTTGTTATTGTGTCACTTGGGAGTGTGCCATTTTGTTTCGGATTTTGCTCTCTTGATAGATCTCTCATTTGCATTTCTAACTTTTGTATGGATGCGGTATGAGAACCCACAAGTTCAGTCATGTTCTTCATTGAAGTGCCGGATCTTTCTTGATTTTGCAACACTCTTTCAAGCATGTTATCCAATTTTGACTCATTTGAAGAACTTTCCTTCCAATGCGCAGAGTTAGCGTGTTGCCCCTTTGGTGGAACATAGGGGTTTGAACTACGATTTGAATAGTTGTTGTTGTTGTTACTCCAATTAACTTGATATGAACTACCTTGTTCATTTCGCCACTATTGATTGCCTTGGCCTTGCGGGTTAGACCTCCATTGATTTTGTTGCTCAGGCCCTTGGTAAGGTTGTCTTTGATAACCGCCTTGAGCATTGTTGACATAATTTTCTTCCTCGTAATCCTCGTTTGACAAGGATTGCACATCTTCTACAACATTCACCTTTTTTGTTTGGCTTTCAGTAAACATCTTGGTCAACACATTGATGTTGGTAGCAAGCCCGGCAATTACTTGATCACTTTCTTGGTTCTCCTTAATCATGTTGGTCAAGGAAGGAGTACCATATTCAATTCCACCTGTAGTGTCTTCCGAGTGCCAAGCGTGGTTATGTTTTGCAATCTTGTCAAGAATTTGTGTGACCCTTGAAAATGTTTTATCCATAAAGGATCCATCAGCTGCATTTTTGGCTATGGATTGATTCAAAGGATCCAAGCCCATGTAAAACTTCTCCAACAAGATGTTGTCCGGAAAACCATGATTCGACGACCTCACTAAATATAACTTGAATCGATCCCATGCCTCATGTAGATTTTCTCCCGGTAGTTTCTTGAAGAAGAAAATGTTATCCCGGAGCTCTGACTTCTTGCTTTGCGGGAACCATTTCTCTAGGAAAGCTCGAACGAGTTCGGGCCAAGTATGAATGGAATTAGGTGGTAGATTTTGGGTCTATTTCCTTGCCTCTCCGGCTAGTGAATACTTGAACACCCTCATCCATAGGGCATCATCTGAGACATGATTCTTCTTATGCATCGCAAACACACCCAAGAGGTTTCTGAGATGTTGTGTCGGATCATCATCGGTCGAATTTCTGAAAAACCCCTCTACTTTGAGAATTAGGATTAGACCGTGTTCTACCTTGAAGGTGGCAACATCAACTATTGGAGGGACAATGGCATTTGTATCCTCAATATACTCATCTATATCCGCAAAAGGGTTATCTTCTTCCAACTCGTCCATGCTTACCTAGTAACACCAAGTAAAGCAAGCAAAGTGTGATGGAATAGAAGAAGACGTAAAGTAAAGCACACACTAAATAGTAATTTCATAACCGTATTCCCCGGCAACGGCGCCAAAATTTGATACGCTCAAATTACACCTAAATAAATAGTGTAAGGCGGTCGATGTCAAATATAATAACCCAACTAGGTTGGGGTCGAATACCATAAGGAATAGGTGTGAAACAATTACTTGAATAGTGTGAAACTTGACTTAAATCATAATTGTATTCCGTTAGCTTAAAAAAAGAGTGTTGTGATTATGTGTAATAAAGAAAACTATTGTATTGTGAGAATATAATTAATTTGATTAAGGAACCCAAGGTTGTGTCCCCATCAATGGAATATAATGCTATCGGTGTTAATATGATATATTTCTAATGGGAGGCCCTTTGATGTGCAAATGGTTTCTAAGTGACTACCCAATATTTTCCAATAGTTGGGTAGTATTTTCTCTTTATGATTTTCTCTAATATGAAAGAGTTGCAATTAAGAATAACCAATTTATGCCAAATAGAACTCACTTATTCCTAGGCGATTCTATTAAACAAGGTTTAAAGCCTTGAGTTTTTTATATTCAATTCTACCAAACCCTAACCCACTTTTCCAATAAAGATAGAGTGAAATGGAACTAGTTTNTAGTATTTAAAACTAGCTACTCATACTAGAATCCAAGAACAAAGCAATAAATAAAGTCATAAAACTTACAAAGGTACAAGATTCTCTCTTCACAAGCTTCCAAAACAATGGTGTATTCAATGCCTTCAATGTACCCTCTTTTTCAGACAAGATGTCCCACAAAAACCCTAGTATATCTATTTATAATGGGCCAAAAGTCGGGGTCAAATTTAGATAAAAATGCCCCTGCAGAACACATCTGCGACCGCAGAATGGGTCGCAGATCGTGTATGCAGTTCGCAGAATTAAAAGGTCTCCGCATAATTGCATGTCCAGTTTCCCAGTTCCCCGTCACAGATCCATTATGCGGTTCGCATATTGATTATGCGACCGCAGATTGCATCGCAAAAAGGGCTCTCGCAGAATCTCATTTGCACTTATACGGTCATTATGCGGTCCGCAGAAGCGTTATGCGACCGTATAATGGACTGCATATTTCTCTCTTCAAGAGCTGAACCACCTGCTTCATTTTGCGGTTGGTTTGCAACTCGCACAACACTTCTGCAGTCGCAAACCTGCCGCATTTCTGTCCTTCTATGGGTTTTTGTTTTCTTTTCTGTGTTCTTGGTTCTTCAAGTCTGGTACACTACAAAACACCAAAACTTGATAAGAAATAACTAAAATTGATTTAAAAGATGAGTTACAGTCCATGTAATTAGTATCAAAAGTGCCAAAATTCTACGGCACATCACCTTCCTTTTGAAACTGAATTGTATACTTGCACATGCAAATCTTGATCTCACACCATGCACCGCCTCTATTAGGACATCATATGAAAAGCACAAGAATCTCATAATCAACTCTGAGTCACCATCAGAATATATACCAAATCATTCTGAAACCTTCCATTTGATCACATCCAGGAGAAATTACAATACGCAATATGCTCCTCTCGCGAATAGGAAATATCCATCTCAAACTATGGTAGAAACGATGGAGAACTCTCTGAAACCTATTTGCACAAAACCAAACCATCAGAACTGAATCTCTCCAACTAAACCAAGCCACACAGGTCGCCAAACCCAAGGGTATTGCCACAAAACACCTATATAGACTCACCACATCATAAGAACACAAAGAACCGATCATATCCATTACCGTGCCGATCCAACCTACTACCAAGTTATCTTATTTCTCCGAGGTCCTTCCAAATTACCCTCAAGTTGGCACTTCTCTTTGCCAGAACACCGCGGTCCTCCCCCAAAGATCACCACCAGAGATACTAGAATAAAACCACACCGCCCTAAGGCCCGTAAGTTGCTGTGTTCCTTCTTAAGCAACCCATAAGTACCACAACCGAGACACTCACTCTAAAGAGACCTTATGTGAATCTAAAGTAGTTTCCTTCACCTTCCTGATACTAAAATGTATAATCCATGATGATATATAAATACCGCAAGTCCCAACACCATCCAATGCAAATCTCATATTCTAGCCATATACAAGTCCGAAAAATTCTCAACTGCCACATATAAATCTTGAATCCATTAGAACCTTCTCGAGAGTCATCCACTCTGCTCAAATCTCAATTGCACCGCCCAAACAGGTTGAACGACCCATGCCCCATTAGCACGACAACACCCAAGGAAGTAACCCCGCCTTAATGCAACCGAGCAAATTTATACTACATGCACACTACATCCTTCACGAATAACAACTCAATCATTCCATGATTCCCATCTACCCATAAAGTGTAATACACCATGTATCTAGAAATTTCCTTGCTTAAGTCATCCTCAAAAGCAGTCTCTGCAAGTCATAACCGATTCACAAGCATGCCTCAGAACGAAACCAATATAACACATAAACGTGCAATCGACTCGTCAATAATAGACTCCCCCACTTGGCTCAAAGCCATGGAATAAAACATCTGATAACATACAATAACCATAACCCATTACTATCATAATACCACAGTGAAATTCAACTAAATCCTTAATAATCTCATGTAACACAAACCATCTAGTACCTCAAATCATCAGCAAAATCTCGTATTCATCCTCGTGACGGCCAAGTCAACTATTACAACCGATCCAAACTCATATCGCACAAATATGACCCACTGGTAGAAAATAAAGCCTCTACACAACATCATAAGGATCACACATCCGTAGATTACTATACCCTTTCACAGCCACAACTACTACGCCATCACTTGATCTTCCTGAGTCTGAACTCATCAACAAGCCTTGAGAACCTAATTCATTCCCTAATTAAACAACATGAAATATCCTTCAATACACTCATAACTCGAGACTATACATCACATCAAGACAGAAATCAAAGCACCCAATAGTCCTTTTCACATCCCAAGATAACTCTTCCCGTCACATTCAAACCACCTGAACATATCACGCAGTCACGTCATACTCATCATATAGCCATCCAACCACTCATCGAGACACAAATCCCACTTATAGGGACACTACCAGACATATAAGTCCAAAATCATGAACTCACACAACTGAAACTACTAAGCCTAAGTTGCGGTCAAAACCTAGCCTCAAGTCATCTAGACTAGCCCATCACCACAACACCGGAAACACATCCCGTACCTCATCTATAAAATCATAAGCCGTCGATGTACAGTTGATACCGAGCGCTCACATGCACATACGAGTGAGTGAAAAGAATTCAAAGAGATACATTTCAAGCTGAATCAATATCGCATGATAGGGAAAGAAAGAGGGGAAGTTTATGCTAAATGCACTGTAGCATCTCGAAGATGGATATGGACATCATCATATCGATCCGTAAGACTCTACTAAATACTTGCTAATGACTTGTAGAACATATGAACCTAGAGCTCTGATACCAACTTGTCACGATCCAAAATCCAACTAGATATGATGGCCCTAACCCAACCCGCTAGGTATTCTAGTTAACAATAAACCAATTAAAATAAGATTCCTTAAGAGAAATAATATTAATACAACTGAGCTTTTATGAAAAGAATTTCCAAGGACTGATAGTACAAATCATGAGCTTCTAATTTTTGGAATTTACAAAGCCGATACGAAATAAATACATCATCTGTTTGAAATATACATGAACAGATTAATAAATCTAGAGCTACCAAGAATAAAAGGTAGCAATGACCGGAATGCAGGTACATCTTCAATGCCAGCTCCCACCATACAAACAACATCAACATAAAAAATCTACACGCAAGGTGCAGAAGTGTAGTATAAGTACTACCGACCCCATGTACTCAATAAGTAACAAACCTAACCTTAGGTTGAAAAGAGTGACGAGTTGGGACGAAGGTCGTAGTCCAACACAATTAGCCATTAACAGCTCATAACAATATAACAAAAGTGATAAAAGAAATAACTCAGAGATATAATAATGCTCAGGTCATTCATAGTTCCAGAAAATAGGCATGCTTTTATAGTATAATAGTGAAAACCCAAATCCTTTACTGAAATCACCAAAATGTGAGTAAATCGGAAAAACTGTGATCTTTCCCAAAAACTTTCGACAACAGGTAAGATGTTAAATTATCAAATGGCATGAGGAGAGTACATCTCTATGCCTACTTGTCAATGCATATGTGAGGTCATAAATGACGCAATACCGTACAGCAAAAGGAAATTGCATCTCTATGCTTATATGTCAAGTGTGCATGTCAAATGCAATGCAATACAGTGATAAAACCAAATGTATACTCTCAGAGTATCAATTCAGCCAGTCCTACAAGTCACTCAGTTCTCACAGTCATTCAGTTCTCCCAATCACTCGGCACTCGAACTCAGTAGGTACTTG